TTATTTATTTATTTGAAAGAGAGAGAATGAGAGAGAGAGAGAGCACATGAGAGGGGGGAGGGTGGAGCTTCCATCTCACTTCAGGGAGCCCGATGCGGGACTCGATCCCGGGACTCCAGGATCATGACCTGAGCCGAAGGCAGTCGCTTAACCAACTGAGCCACCCAGGCGCCCCGAGTTCTCACTTTTGAACCTTTCTTGCTCTAAAGTAATAAACAGGTCATAAAGATCACTTATATCCTGAACAATTTCTTTCCTCTCACTAAAGTTTCATCAACAGCCAAAGTCTATTTACAGAATTTCAGGGGGGTTTGTTGGTAATGTATGACCCTACTTTCTTCCAAGTAAGTCTACACCATTCTTCATGGAAAGGACAGGAAACAGGAGTCCCTCTTTTCGTGGCGTATTACCCCCATCCCATATACTTTTCTGAAAACACCTTGAATTTCATGCTCACCGTTGATATATGTTCCAGACCTCCCTGCTGTATCGTTAACTGCCTGATGCATTAGGTGACTAGTTGAGTGGTGTGATTTTATTTATTTTTGAAATCTCATCAGTTGTCTCATTCTGAGCAAGCTCTCTATCTAGGTAGGGTCTCCCCCTGTAAAATATTGACTACAGACCACTACCAGAATCTGCCTAGTGCCCTTGTGGTGGGTCTCCATGCTGAGACACCTCTCCTAATTCAGTCCCTCCTGAAGGGTCTTGGAAGGATCTGATAATGTCATTCAAGGCTGAAAATCAATATCTGATAAGACTTAATGTGTTCATTCATTCAAAAATAACCACCGAGTGCCTACTATGTGTTAGACACTCTCTAGATGTTGGGAACACAACAATGAACACATCAGACAAAGATCCTCTCATAGCCCTTATTTTCGTTTTTTTATCCCAGAGGTTTTTGACTTTTAACAATGGACAAAGTGCTGGCTTGGCTTAAAGACAAAGGAATCAGGTTCTATGTTTGGAATTAAGCCACATTTCCCTGGATGGGGGTAGCAGCAGCGTCCTGGAATCACACAACATCTTCCACCTACTCATAAGAGGAGTCTGGAACCATCAATGACTAGATCAATTGTCATTTTTCTTGGGCCTTTGCCAGGCTCCAGCAAGACAATATCTTTCTGTGGAGCGTATTCCGTACCAGGCCAGGGCCAAGGAGGGCAAAATGCTGGCGGCTTTGGTGGAGCCGGGGCCCAAGACCACCACTCAGCCATTGCTCAGGAAGACATTGCCCCCTCGTGGTTCCTTATGTAACTGAGGGAGGGACTGGGAGTGGAAAGGGCTGTCCAAGTTTCCAGATCAAGTGTGTGGCCCTTGCCTCTTCCGAACTTCAACTGCAAGTTCAACAGATTCTTGGCTTATTTTCATCCAGGATACACTACCCCCACCCCCCACCCCCGTAGAGAGGCATGACATCATGACAGCAATTCAATCTTTATCAAAATCTTCAGACTCCCCCCCCACCCCTCCCACCCCAAGAAAAACCCAAGAGGTGAATGGAAGCATCGCCACTCTTTTTTTCTTCACAATGCTCTTCACACAAGTATTTTCATTGCTTTCTGCGATTTGAACCAGGATCCCTGATCATGGTGCCGTGGAGTTGTTTTGGGTATCTTGTCTCCACAACACCAGTTTAAAGTCCTTAAAAGCAGGAGCCTTATCTCCATTCCCACCTCCACCCCACTCCCAGCAGCACTTAAACCAGTATAGCGTGAAGAATGTGTGGGGGGGGGGAGGAAGGGGGCAGAGAGAGATAAACAGTGAGGCAAGCAAATAAATAGAAATTGTGATTGGTGCTGTGAAGAAAGGAACAGGGTGCTGTGTGAGAGAATTCCTGGGCGTGGGAAGTGAGGGAGAACCTACTGATATATGCAGTTTTAAATTTATGTGTTTATGATACCGGAATGGAGAAGCTCTCTATGGCCCTGGAAAAATGGAAATTTCCTTAATGATAATGCTAACTTCCATGATCTGTAACCTTAAACTGGGCAGGAATGGGTGCTGGGTGCTATAGCTCTACCAACCTGTCATCTCCTTTAATTGCAACCCCCTGGGAGGTAACTCTGCTCCCATTTCACAGGTGAGGAAACCGAAACCTCGCAATCCTTCCGAGGTTGGCGCGTAAACAGGCGTTGTGCGCGAACCTCCCACAGTACTGAGCCCTCTCTCTTCTTTAAGCTGCTTTGACCCTGTGAAGATCATCTGTGTTGGCCTCCAGTTCGGATCGCTGTGAGGAATATTCACTTAGCCAACAAAGATTTGAGTGCCTACTGTATACCAGGTAGCGTATTTAAATAGCCGTGGGATTATAAAGAGAAACAGGGCACGGTGTTGTTGTCTGGCGGGAAGGCTCTCCCAGGAGAGTGAGGGAGGCAGCCAGGTAAACAAATAATTCCAGAACGGTCTGCTAAGGGCCGTTGACAGGAGCCTGAGCAGGGGGCCCGTGAAGCCTAGCGGAGAGCGAAGGCCGGCGCGCGGAGGCTGGGAGGTTTGCGAGAACCCGGCGCTGGAGGTGGGTTTGAAGCTGTGCCCTGAAAACGCCGGCCCGGAGCCGGCTGCCCCCGGACGTCGCTCGTTCTCTCGCATCCTGTCATTTCAAGCTGCCAACCAGGAAGGGAGGAAATAGGTCTGAGCCGGTACTGAAAGGGAGGGGCTGGCTTAGGGATAGGGGTGCGAATCCCCGCGGGCAGCAAGCCAACAGCAGTAGCCCATCACGCTTCCCGGGCGTCGCGCTGGCCCGGCCTGACTCCCCGAAGCCCCTCTCCAAGCCGGCGCGCGCCGCTACGCGAGTTCGCCAACTCCGGCGCAGCCGGGCCGCCGGGGCCCCCAGGGGCCGGGGAAGCGGGAGGACCCAGCCTCCCTCCCGCGCCTCTGCCCTCGCCCTCCGACCTACCGCCGAGTCGGGGGGCTGGGGGTCGGCCGCTTCCGCCTGCCGCCCGCGGCCCCTCCCCGGCGCGCGCCATCCGGCCGCGGGGCAGCCGCCCCCGGCGCAGCCCCTCCTCCCGCGGGGGGCTTCTCCGTCCCGCGTCCCGTCCCTCCGGGCTAAAGCCGGCAGCCCACGTCTAGGGAGGGCGGAGGGGGGAGGAGGAGGAGGAGAGGGAGGAGAGAGGGGAGGGAGGAAAGCGAGAGAAAGGGAGCTGCTTGGATCCCGTACTTCCCAGAGCCTGCCTGGAGCGCGCACTCTCCGGGTCCCAGCGTCCCAGCCGCGGCCCGCGCCCCGCACCACCTCCTCCTTCGGTCTGGGCACCCCTCGCCCCCTCCCTCCGGCCCCCGCTAGGCTCCGGCAGCGGCCGCCCCCAGCCCCTGCTTGGCCACATCGTCAACTCTCTGGGCTCCCTCCTGGGACGCGCGCCCTCGCCCCATCCTTTCTTCCTTCCTTCCTTCCCTCGCGCCCGCCCTCCCTCACCAGGTCTCCCTCCCGGGTCCCGATTGTCTCCGTCCCCTTCCCAGTCGGCCCGCGCCTCGCCCTGCCCCGTCTCTCCCTCGCACTTCCTGGGTCGCCCGCCGCCGCAGTCTCGCCTAGCCGCGGGAGCCCGAGCCGCCGCTGCCCCGGCTCCAGCCCCCGCAGCCCGCGGCGCCCGCCCGAGGGAGCCCCGGCGCCCGGGGAAGGGAAAAGTGGGCGAGCGCGCCCTCGCCCAGCCCCGCGCCCCAGCCCTGCCCGGCGAGGAAGGACCGGGAAGATGAACAACGGCGGCAAAGCCGAGAAGGAGAACACCCCGAACGAGGCCAACCTTCAGGAGGAAGAGGTACGGAGGGGCTCGCTGCGGCGGGGGTACGACCTGGGAAGCCGGCCGCGGGCTTTCTCCCGCGTGCGGGCGGGCGGCCGGCCGGCGGGGCTCGGACGCCGGCCCCGGGGCGCCGCAGTCGAGGGTTTGGAAATTGCCCTCGCCCCGAGGCACAGCCCCAAACTGTGGCCCCGGAAGGGGGGGCTCTCTTCGGAAAGCGTGTTTTTGTGGGTTCTTAAGACTGCGTAACTTTGAGGACTTTTCGGAGACTTTTGTAAGTATAATGCTCAGCTTTGTTTGCGTGGGATTTTAAAAGCGGAATCGAGAGCTGACTCCTGGGTGACCTCAGTTTATTGGGACCCGGAGGGTCAGGACTTAATTCTGCGACCGGGACTGGGAAGTTGAGGGGTGTGTTTGTGCGGTGTAAGGAAAGAACTCGGGGAAAGTTCTCGTTAAAAGACACCTTCTGTTCCCTGCCCCCTCCCTTTCAATGTTAAAAGTTCTTGGTGAAATATCTTTCCAGCTGAGGCATTTTGGATTAATAGATAACTCATCAGCTGCATTCTTCTCTGATGAGTCAAAGACCCCGAATGTGGGTGATTAGGTTTTGTAAATTTAGGGGCGATGTGGGGGGCGGGGCGAATAAGAGTTTAAAACTTTACAATTCACCAAGCGATCATCTAGGCTCCTTTAATGGGACTTTGACTTCTGAGCGTAAATTTTATGTGGTGCGTCCGTAACAACGTTAAAAATGTTGCGGCGGCGGTGCGTTCCGTTTGTAGAAACAAAATTTAACTGTGGGAGGGAACTCCCTGAACAGACGTTTCAGAATTTTGTAGTTAGGATATTTGTGGTATCCTTTTAAATGGCTTTGTTCCTGCAGGTACGTAATCTGGAGTCCAAGAAACAATACTTTTTTCGCCTACTTTTTAGGATCCCTTATAGCTGAGTTCTTAAACATTCTAAAAAGAACTTGAGTGTGGAGATGCAGGAAAGTATGCATCTAGATAAGACCTGTAAGGCATTCTTAGAGGTCTTGTATTCCAATATATAAAGTTAACAGAATGGTAAACTGTAAAGCGGTTAGGATGTTGAGATTATTATGGAGATAACGTGTTGCGTGCAGACTAAGATTCTGATAGTGAAACCAAACATTGGGGAGGATTTAAATAGTACTTTTAAGTCCTCAGCACATTGTCCACTTGTGGAAAGGGAACTATTTAAATGAAGATAGAGGGACTTAAGACCATGCAAATCAATGCAAAACACAAGGTTTTACTCTTAAGCCCATTTGTATGGGGCAACCCACCTGAATTGCAGTAAGCTGAAAATTGCCTTCACACCTGAGGGGTAATTGTGCTTTTTATTTTAAACTATTATTTTGAAAAGTGTTATTTACATGCTAGTTCTTTAGGACTACTGACATTCCCCTCTTTTCAGAGAGTCCGAGACCTGAATTGCAAGTTCCACTTTTTTTTTCTTGAATCTTACTGACTGCTCTATTTATTTTCCCTACCCTTGAAATAAAATTTTAAAAATGACGAGTGTGCTTCTCTAAGGAGTTGCTATATTTAACTAATTCACCCAACACACCAATTGCTTCAGAAACCTTTCTATTTCACTTAGATGGGCAGTCTGTTTATTTTTAAGGGTAAGACTGTATGGTGTGAAACCATCTTTCTCTGCTCACCCAATTGAGAATTCTTGTAAATGGAAAAGTTAATCAGGCAGACCCAAAGGCTTTTTTTTTTTTTTCTTTTAGTAGGTAGCAGAAGAGGTTTAAGTGTTCCAAAACCATAACCTACTTAACTTGAGAAAATTAAGTAGAGAAAAAAAATCGCATTTTTCACGTAACCCATCTCAGCCTCACTGCCACCAGGACTGAGGTGTTGTTGGCCCCGTTCCTGGGGCGCCTTAATGTGTGAAGTTGTGTATGAGTAGAACCTCAGGTGAGCTTAGTACAGAGTTACTGCCTCTTACCTGTTCTTTTGCCCTGACCATGTGCCTTTTTCAGGAGGCAACAGCATGTGGCTCTACGACGGGTCAGCAGTTTTGGCGAGACAGTTATTTTAAAACTAAGTGGACTGTTAGGAAGAGTTTAGAACCCAAGTTGTACCAGAGGTGGAGTATAAAGACAGATACCCCATGAAGAGAGAGAATGTTAAACATTCAGGAGAAGAAAGGAAATAGGCCTTGAGTGATGCAGGTAATTTTGCGCTAATTCTCTGTTTTGAGTTTGTTTTGTTTTTGATAAACTCTAACCTCTTTTTTTTTTTTCCTAACCCTGAAAGCCACAAGTAAAATAAATATGGTATTTGGTGAGTCCCATTAATGTGCTCAGCGTTATACAAAAACCACCACACTGGACCCTTTCCCTGCCCACCCAGCGAACAGCAATTTGTTCTCAAACACATTTAAAAGCCTTGGCTGAGGATTCCAGTATACAGAACACACACATATAAAATGTATATACCCATAATGACAAGAGAGGGGGAAAATGTGTTTTGTTGTCGTTTCTGGTGGCCATTGAGCTGACTTGGAAAAGCAAGTCCAATCATCATTAAGAGAAAATAGTTTATTTCCTAGAACATCAGAGCAATTTAGGCTTTCTCTACCACTTCATAGAATCCAAGGTTTTTTTTTTTCAGTATTTTTTCAAATGAGTTCCTTTTATCTTCCAGTACATTTTAGCCCTGTATGAGAGCTTTTAAAGCATACTCTGAAATAATTGATACCGAAACACTTGTTTGGTTCCAACTGTATAGAACGAACGGCCCAGGATTGAGGAGAATTTCTGTAGCTTTTTGGGGTCTGAGAACTTGGACAGGACATAGACTTCTGCGTTGGATAGTATTGAAAGCTTTGAGGAAAAATCCTTTTTAAGATTTTGCTAGCTAGCTGTAAAAGATAATACATCTGGCCTTCTGGCTTCCTGTGTGCTTGTTTCTCTATAACATGTCCCTTTAAAGAAGCCAGTTGTCAAAATCTTAACTGGAATCTGAGATTTATAGGGCTTATGTATAGGGCATTAGATAATTTCTTACATCATTTTACAGTTGATAAAATCCTAGAATTTTGCATCTAGCTTTGGACCAGGCAATATTCTCTTTAAACACCTTTGGCGATTTGAACTGGACTAGACTTTATTAAAAATCAGTAAACGTATGTAGAGCAGACTCCGTTTGTCTTGTTGAGCTTTATGTATCAAGACTTTATCTGGTAGTAGATAGAAATTTATTTTTGGTCCCTTAATTTTCAAAACAATTTTTTTTTGAAATCCGATAAATATGCAATTTGGTTTTGCTTTTGCTTTTAGCCAGGTCATTGAGCATTTTTCAGGCTGATCACAAATCCTTTCTTAAAGGTGTTTTATTATGTTGAAGCACCAGTGGTAAACAGCAATCTTTCCTTAAATTGATTTGAACTTCCTTGTACTTAAAACTAGAAAAGCAAAAAAGTTGACATTGTTGCGATATTGACTGAAAAGATACTTGGCAGATGTTGGGCAGGAATCATGTACAGTTGGTTCTTTACAAGCTAATACAAATCTTTACCTCACTTTCCTTTTAAAGTGCTTAGTGGGGTGCCTGGCTAGCTCAGTGGGAAGAGCATGTGACTCTTGATCTCAGGGCCATGAGTTTGAGCCCCTCGTTGGGCGCAGAGATTAAAAACCAAAAAGCCTTAAAAAAAAAAAAAGTGCTTAGTAATCTTGCCCAAATATTGGGGTCATGAAGAAAATTGTTTCCTCCAGTTGGCCCACAGAAAGGCTACCATGTCAGTTTAGGATGGCAGCCTCAAGCTTTCAAGTGGGCATTAAGATAATCTACATTATGACTTGGGCAAAGACTCAGAATACTCTTAAACAGTTCAACCATGTCTGGAGTCTCTTATTCCAAATCAAATCTAATATAACAAACCTATTTCAGCCTTTGAAGAGGCTTTGGTGATAGTTCTAAAAGGAAAGCACAATGACCTCCTAGTAAAATGCTGCTAAAGAAGCCTGCAAATATGGCATGTGCTTTTGAGCTGTTTTTCCAGTAGTTTTAAAATTTCCCTCATAAACCCTTGTGTTCTTGTGCAGTCTTTGTTTCCCCATGGCATTTTTGTTGTTGGGTGGATCGTTTGATAGGGTAGAGGTTCTTTTCAGAGTCGCTTTCATACGGTTTTTGTGGGTTCGTATGAATTTGTGCTTCATGGACAGAATGAATTCAGTGTTGGTGATGAGGCAAGACAGTGGGCGCTGATGTGTACTGCAAGGTGACGCAAATTAATGCAGCTTTCTGGAGGACTTTGCTATTATATGGCAAGATATGTTCGTGAATTAGTTACTTCTGATAGTGAACAGTCATAAAGACTCTTCGATGTCTTACCCAGGGACATTGCTAAAGTAAATCATGGTATAATTTCTGAAAGAGAATAATAAGTAGCCATGAAAGGCCATGTTTTTAAAGGATGTATATGTATATGCATATATTTACTTTTGTTGTTGTTGGTTCAAAGCAGCAGAAATGCATTCTCTCACTGTTCTGGAGGCCAGAAATTTGGAATCAAGGTGTCTGCGTTGCCACATTCCCTCTGAAGGCTGTATTGGAGAATCTGACTTTTTCTTCCCGGCTTCTGACAACATTTTAATTGAGGGCATAATTGTCAATGTTAGGACATTAAACAAAAACAGATTTAAAAGTTCTATGTGATGCCAATTCTTAAAAAAAAAAAAAACCAAACCCCAAATAGGTAAAAAAAAAATATATATATATATATATTAATAAAAATTATTAGATTTTTACTTTCTAATGCTTTTCTATGCTTTCTAAATTTTCTAAAATGAACATGTGAACAAAATTGTAAAAAAAAAAACAAACCCACCCAACTGTCTTTTTCTTTGAGTATTCCGTGGAATTTCTTTGCTGTACTTGTAGATGTCACAAAACCATTGGGTTGGTCCCACTTCCTTTTGCTCACAAGCCTTGCTGCAGGAACCCAGCCTCTTCAGTTCCTTGTAGCCCTTCTCTGTGTTGCTC